GGAGACACGATATTCTCAGAGTCGGTGCTCCGGTCGCAACATATTCTTAGCAAACAAACTAAACTCATGGCTGACTCGCTCTGGAGCTGTTCGTTCTCTTCAGACTTCAGTGAATCCATTAGCGGCCGAACGACAGGATTGAGTTTTGGTGGCAATTCTTTCCACGATATAAGAGCGCCGGCTATTGATGACAAAACACACGTTAATAGAGACGTTTGGTATTTCGATATCTGAGCCGTAGATTTCAAAAGACTTTTGGCTTTTTCTTCGACAGTTTCGTAGGACTTGTTTTGAGTCTTAAGCTCTGAATTGGTTGTGACAGAAGTGGCCAAAGAGTTAATTTGATCGAATGTATAGACGACTCCAGGTTTGTAAATGTCTTCATTGAACGCAAATTTGTGTCTTTTCAAGAGAGTCACGAAATCGCGTGATTCCAGTTGTAATCGAGTAAAGTGTGTAGAAATCTCATCGAAATAAACAATTTCTTGGAGACACTCCAAGCACTTGTCGGCCACAGTCTTTGGCAAACATTGATTGTTGTCATTATCTGCGGCCAACTCTGTGTTCGCTTTGGCCCACTCTTTGACAACCCATGCGATGCACATCCTCTGCATCGCAGACTTAGAATTCAAATGAAATAATAAAATGTTTGCAAACGACTCGATAGGAGAGGGAGTCAAGAGATACACTGGTTTTGTGACAAAGAAAGCCAATAATCCTATAAACTTTGCCGATTGATGTCTGGCTCTGATTACAGCTCGTTCTCTATCATCAGTGCTTTCGGCCAACGATTCTGTGCCGCCAATGAAGTACTGCTCTCTGACTCCGTGGTTATCGTATTTATGACGTGATTTCGTGCCAGTGGTCTGTTCTGTATGAGACAATTGTCTCATTTGTAGCCATATCTGGGAAGTGGAGGCATCGATGGGGATCTTTGACGGATGCATCATAAGGCAGAACCAACCACTCAAGTGCTGACAACTCGATTGCATTATATTTTCAACGCTTGATTTTGTTATAAATTTATACCAAACTTGATATAAATTTTCTAAAATCTTCTCATTATTCTCGAGAAGACATCTCTGATATAAAAGTCTGAGAGCATCTGATAGGAGGGGAACAGTAAGCCATTCGATGGTAGGTTTAGAACATAAGATGAGAAGTGCCTCTAAAACAGACTTTCGGACACAACTCAATGAGTGACTCAGAAAAGGCCACAAACGGGGAACCAATTCAACTAAACTTTGCGTTGAATTGGACTCAGAATTAAATACCAATAGAGAAGATAAAAGCATCAAAAGATCTCCCGTTGAAGAGCTTAAGTCGTCGAGATCTTGAAGCGCTTCCCATAAGTAGTTGATTACAACCGGAACTTTCTCCGGAAGTGTTTGCATCAAAACATCTTTAATGGGCACCAAAGCGGCCGCAGCCACAGCTGACACGTCGTCGACATTATCTTTTAGACCATCAAAAACCGGTTGAAAGACTATAGGAATCAATTGAGATGTCATGTCTTGTCTGATGGCTAGTAAGTACTTGAGCCCAAGCATTCCTCCATGTCTGGCCTCCCATTCCTCACATTTCAGTAATTGAAGTAATATTTTCAGAACACTATTCACACCATTAGATGACAACAAATTCAAAACTAAGCCTAACGTCTGAGCGCAGGTCTCTCTGACGGGCGCCACCACCTGATCGGACACATAATCACCAAATCTGTCCAAACTTAACACAGATATTAACCGAAGCGACACGTCTTCGAGCCATAGCTGATTGATTTGATCCAATTGATGACTGGGAACGGAGTTCGATCGTCCGCCACATATGCCCTGCAATCGGATTATTTCTCGCAGACCAGTGGCCGCCCCGTGGCGTACCTCCCATTGGGCACTGAATAGGTCTGACAACAACTCTTCGGTGAACGACTCGAGTGGCCATTCATTAGCTAAAGCGATGTCAACCATAGTGTTGCTATCATTAGAGTTAATGACATCCGAGTCCTCTCTCTCCACTTTCACTCGTTTCGTGGTTTCGTTGTTTGAATGGTTTTCATCGAAACTCGACTTCTGGTCAATGGATTTGTTTCGATTCAAACGACTCGACTTCCGCTTCAGTGAACTGCCCGTCGCTTTCGTCATGATTTCATCCAAATGTGTTTTACTCGGCTTCGAGTCAATGGTCTCTGGATTAGGGTTTTGTTGATCCGTCAGGTCGGCGTTCGATATGAAGTCCATCTCAAGACCCAATTTGTTCATCACATCTAAGCCTAACTTCTGGTTCAAAGCCTGTCTCTGGAGCGCAATCTTCTCCTTGAGGTCGAGTGAAGGGTCGGCCTTATTGTCAGGCGTCTGATCAAACTCTTTGCCCTCAGAGGCCAACAAATTGTGTCCGCATTTGATGACAGTATTGATGTTATATCTGTCGAAAGTCATTCTTCCGGTGCTGTTGTTGGAGACGATGGGTGTGTGAGAGTTGCCATCACTGGCATCACTGGCATCAGTATGTGGTGCGGGTGTCCAGAGGGGAACGTTCGCCACAATGGCTTCGATGGCCTGACTCGCGGCGATTCGCGTGTCCCATGAGGTGCTCTTCAGGTATTGTCTCACTTTGTCCAACAGGTTGTGGCACTCGTGTGGATGCAATCGTTGCACTTCTCCCAACTGAAGAGCCGCTGCCTTCCGGGTCACAGCCGTAGAGCCCGTCTCTAACAACAGCAACAGTCGGTCCAGACGTGAGCTCATTGTCACCACTTCTTCACTATCACTGTCACCACTGTCTCTACGATTATCTCTGCACTCCTTATCTCATAACTCACTCACGCACCGACCAATCGATGCATTCATTCACTCAACACTTCACAACACATTTCACAATAAATTAAAATAAATATAATTTAATAAAATTTATAAATCTATCAAATGATCAAAAATTTCCGGTCAATAGTACAGGTGTTTACAGTATTTTCAATGCAGACAATACACAGTCAGACAAGTGATACGCCGGCTGTTTGTGTCCATACCTGTCAATACCTGTCAACACCTCTACACGACGACTGCAAACTCGACGTGTGTTTAACTAAACAATAGTTTAGAAAACAATAGTTTTTATGATTTATTAATTTTATATGAATTAAAGTCATATTAAAGATGATTAACGACTCGTTTTGGGTTTCAATCACTTGTTTACTCGGTTTGGTTGCTATCATAACATGCACTGAGTCTAAGGCTAATGGACCTAAAGTTACAGACATTGTATGAAAACTACATTTCATATGAAACCACTTGATCCACATTTCACTGATGTTTGTCTCGACTTCAGGTCTACTTCGACATCAAGATTGGCGACGAAGAGGTCGGACGTATTGAGATCGGACTCTTCGGTAAGACTGTTCCCAAGACTGTCAAGAATTTCGTCGAACTGTGTGTCAGACATAAGACCGAGGTTTGCAACCATTGGAACCGTTGTCTGCATATGCATTGATGTGCCATTGAATTGATTTGTATGATAGGAGTCGACGGATGGAAAGTTAGTCGGATATAAAGGCAGTGCTTTCCACAGAGTGATCAATGACTTCATGATTCAGGGTCTGTAGCCATCACTCAATTGTTGTCACATTTGACTCACATTTGGTGTGTTTTGTGGAAAAGGCGGTGACTTTACTAACGGTGACGGAACCGGAGGTCACAGTATTTATGGCAACAAATTCGCGGACGAGAACTTCAAACTCAAGCACTACGGCGCCGGTTGGCTCTCGATGGCCAACGCCGGCAAAGACACCAATGGCTCACAATTCTTCATCACTTGTAAGAAGACCTCTTGGCTCGATGGACGACATGTCATATTCGGCAAAGTTATCAAAGGAATGGTATGTAGTAATGTATGTCCTTCGGGATCACTCCCTTATGCCATATGTTATGTGTTTAGGATGTCGTCCGCAAAATCGAGTCCACAAAAACTGATTCCGGAGACAAGCCTTCGAAGGCTGTGGTGATTGCAGACTGCGATACACTTCCAGTTACCGAACCATTCCCTGTGACCAAAGATGACGCTCTTTTGTAATCTTATTTATAATTAAATAAATTGATTTGATTTGAAATTATTGTTCACTTTCTTTATCTATTAATGTTAAAAATGGTAAGAAATGTATTGTTTCTGTGTGTGTGCTATAAGTGCTAGAATAATGAATATCATTGACGAGTTAATTGTCTGCAATACTTGTATTAAAAGTATAATTAATATTATAGATCTGATAATTCTATACAATATTCGTTGTAATAGAGTATCATTTAACATAAGCTCTCAGTTATCACAAGTGTTTGATTACACGTCAGCCACGAGTTCACAAAACGCCTTTAGTTTTGATGAATAATTGTAGACTCCATTCAAAGTAATGTTGATTAGAAATAATCATAATTTATATGAAAATCTTTTAATATACTGTAGTTTTGGACACTTTAATGAATTGCATTCAAAATCTATTTAAAATTAAAACTTTACAAAAGAAATGTTGACGTAATTAATGGCAACCATTATATGCCGTCATTTGTGTGAAGTGTAGGCAAACACTGAGACATCACTTCCTTTTCCTTTGAAAGCGTTGTCTAAAGTAGTGGTAAATTGTCTTCAATTGGTTTTGAAGTGACACTCAATCTTCGCGAAGACACCAAATGGGGAAAACACGATATGAACTCATTTTGGGTCTAAACAAAGGCCATAAAGTGACCAAAAATGAACGCAAACCCAAACCATCGAGTTTTAAAGGGGTATGTATTTGATTGAATGAATGGTGCGATAGTCACCAATGATCCCACTGTCACCACTAACTGATCCCACTGTCTATGTATGAATAGCGCATAACGAAGCACAACAAGTTCGTGAGGGATATCGTGCGCGAAGTCTGTGGATTCGCTCCATACGAGAGACGATGTATGGAACTGTTGAGGATCTCCAAAGACAAGAGAGCCCTGAAGTTCCTGAAGAGACGTCTCGGCACTCATCTTAGGGCGAAGAGGAAGAGAGACGAGTTGTCCAACGTTTTGGTCCAACAGAGGAAAGCGGCCGCCGCTCAGCATAAGTGATGAGCTGATTATCACTCGTCTTATGGTACCAATTGGCAGACAATTCAGACTCTTATGACTTGTATTAAAGAATTAATAAAATATTGTTTCAAAACATAATTTCAATGATTTTTCGTTTATTTCATAATTGTATACACATTTGAAATCACAGACGAGTAAAGTATTCATAATTTTCGCCAATTTTTTAGTTAATTATTGATTGGTTTATAGAATTATACAATAAGTTTAACTTTAAATAACAATAATAGATATTAACATGGTAATAATATCTATACCGGTAATACATTTGATAGAATTATTGTATAATAAGTTGTAATAGTTTGCAAAAAGTGATTATTTCAAGAGATAATGAGTTTTAAGGCATAAGTTTTGGTTTGTGAATAAATTTTTTGAGTTAACTTTTGATTCAAACTTTTATATAAATTTTATATGAATTATAAAAATCGATTAAAATATATATAAATCAAAGAATCAAATAATTTATAAATAATTCTCAAAATTGTATAAAAATAATTTTTTAAATTAATGATATCAACAAAAATCGAAAACAATTTCACAACTCTTAATGAATCGATTTGATAGTTTCAGGACTTTTACGGTTAGACCAGGCAAGAGATGTCAAGATATTATACTTGGGTTTCCGACTGATTCCCTGTTTAGATGATTGACTAGAGTTTAAGCAGATTCTCATAAATGCCCACCTCTGTGTCTACCCACCCCCAACACTTTAATAGGGTTTGCATACGACATTTGCATGATTTGTAAATATAATTATTTTCCCCAATATATTTGGACAGAATATCAGAATATTCTGCAAACATTAACAATAAGTGATAAAATACTGTATATATAGCAATAATTTGGAATTTAAAAATACAATATTGAATACTCGTACAGTATTGATTGAATTGATTAGTAAATTTGATATAAGTTACTTGAATGATTGAGAGAAAAGATTAGTTTAGCTTAAATTGTATATAATTATTGAGCAAAAAAACTGAATTTATAACAATAATTATAATATACTCTAATAGTTGTAATAATAATGTATTGTTTGCGAAAGAATTAAATGCATTGAGAGAGGAATGCAATGAATACTCAAACTGTCTTTAGTAGTTTTCATACAATGTCTGTAACTTTAGGTCCATTAGCCTTAGACTCAGTGCATGTTATGATAGCAACCAAACCGAGTAAACAAGTGATTGAAACCCAAAACGAGTCGTTAATCATCTTTAATATCACTTTAATTCATATAAAATTAATAAATCATAAAAACTATTGTTTTCTAAACTATTGTTTAGTTAAACACACGTCGAGTTTGCAGTCTATATGTAGAGGTGTTGACAGGTATGGACACAAACAGCCGGCGTATCACTTGTCTGACTGTGTATTGTCTGCATTGAAAATACTGTAAACACCTCTACTATTGACCGGAAATTTTTGATCATTTGATAGATTTATTAATTTTATTATTTATTTTAATTTATTGTGAAATGTGTTGTGAAGTGTTGAGTGAATGAATGCATCGATTCGTCGGAAAGTGAGTGAGTTATGAGATAAGGAGTGCAGTGATAATCGCAGAGACAGTGGTGACAGTGATAGTGAAGAAGTGGTGACAATGAGCTCACGTCTGGACCGACTGTTGCTGTTGTTAGAGACGGGCTCTACGGCTGTGACCCGGAAGGCAGCGGCTCTTCAGTTGGGAG